AGAAATCCATTTATGTTTTATATAAACCTGGTACACATTGCCTGAAGCTCATTTAATGCAATGTTTTTAGTGTACAGGTGTCTGTGATTTGGCTGAAACCCATTGCATGAGATCAGGTGTGGAATTCTCCACTTGTGGCATCATTTTGGCCACCCAGAATTTCAGATTTTTATTTTTTTTTTAATTTTTAAAGAGAATACAAATTATAATTTAAACAAAAAATTAAAAATAATACAGAATTTCACTTAACAAAGTAATATGAATTTCACTGCATTTGTTGTGGTACAAAGAGTTGTCTTCCAACCAGTTATTCATGTTATCAGATATATATATATATATATGCATATAAAATTGAAAAAAAAATGTATAAGAAATTAAGAAGAGAAAATGTACAAACAATTTTAAAAAGGAGACAAAAGAGATTAAAGCATTAACAGTTGTCCAAACCATCCTGTTTACATACATAGATAAATCTCTTTCCCTAACTCCCTCTCCTGTCCTCTTCAACTCAGTAAATCTTTCTTTTTGAATAAGTTCATTCCCTTTTCCCAGTATCTGTTGTACCGTTCAGATTCCATGTTTCTCTTTGACGTTCCCACACTAAGGAGACAATACAATGTTTGTACATGAGGGTCTGATTTATTTCACTTAAGAGTATGTTCTGTAGTAGCATCCATTTACCAACAAAAGACTTAAATTTATCCTGTTTCATAGCTGACTAATATTCGATTGTGTAAAAGCACCACATCTTTATCCATTCTTTAGTTGGTGGGCAGCTGGGTTGTTTCCAGTATTTAGTTATGACAAATCATGCTGCCAGAGGAGACCCAGGATATCAGAAGCAATCCTGGGAAACAAAGGAAAGGCAAAAGACATAATCTCTGACTTGAAATTGTACTATAAGGCTACTGTGAAAAAATAAGCATGGTACTGGCATAGAGATAGACCTGAGGATCAGTGGAACAGATTAGAAGATGCTGACACAGGGCCAAGGAGATAGCTCAGTGGTCTGAAGCGCCTGTGTAGGCAAGTACAGGGACCGTGTTCAATTCCTGGCACCACATGCCATGGCAGCCCTGTCCCCAGGGTGGGCTAAGCTGCCCCCCCAAAAAAAGTGCAGACATCTACAAACACACTCAGCCACCTTGTCTTTTTTTGGGGGGAGGGGGCAGAACCAGGGATTGAACTCAGGCCCTTGCGCTTGCCAGGGAAGCGCTTATTCCACTGAGCCATCTCCCCGGCCCCACCTTGTCTTTGATAAAGGGGCCAAACATACTTACTGGAAAAAAGATAGCCTCTTTAATAAATGGTGCTAGAAAAACTGGCTTTCTACATGCCAAAGGCTAAAATTAGACCCATACCTATCACCATGCGCAAAGCTGCAGTCAAAATGGATCAGAGATTTAAATATAAAACAAAAACACTAAGTCTTCTGGAGGAAAATGTAGGTAGAAATCTTAAAGACATAGGGGAAAGTAGAGAGTTCATGAACAAAAACCAAACTGCATGGTAAATACTTTTTTTTTTTTTTGCGGAACTAGGAATTGAACTCAGGCCCTTGTACTTGCCAGGCAAGCACTTATCCTACTCAGCTATCTCCCCAGCCCCCTGCATGGTAAATACTTAAAAGAATCAACAACTGGTATCTCAGCTTTTTGAAAGGTTTCCGCACTTAAAAACAAATCTCCAACAGAGTAAAAAGAAAACCCACAAACTAGGAAAAAATTATAGCTGTCTATCCCTCCAACAGAGGCCTTCTATCTAGAACATCTAAACAATTTTTAAAATCAAGCCTCCCAAATTCAAAAGACCCAATCCAGAAATGGGCGTCTGAGATGAATATATGCTTCTCAGAGGAAGAAATAAATACAAATGGCAAGTAAATATATGGAAAATGTTCAGCATCATCTGTCACTTAAAAAATGCAAATTAAAACAATACTGAGATTCCATCTGGCCCCAGAAAGAATGGCTAGGGCCTGGGAAGATGGCTCAGTAGAATAAGTGCTTGCCTGGCAAGCTCGAGGGCCTGAGTTCAATCCTTGGTTCCGCAAAAAAAAAAGAGAGGGACAGAATGGCTAACATCAAGAAGTCAGCCAATAACAAATGCTGTGGAGAAAAGGGAACCCTATGGAAATCAGTGTGAAGATGCTTTAAAAAGCTAAGATTGGAGATTCCACTCAAGGCAGCTATTTCCCTCCTGGGTATTTTCCAGGAAAACTGAAAACGTCATGCCACAGTGATATATGTGTACCCATATTTATAGAATTTCATGTTTGAGAGCAGTTTGGGATTTTCAGATTAGGGATGATCACCTGTACTGCTTTTTCTAAGAATGACAATAGTAGGAGTAGTAGCTGTTATAATCCCATGAGTAAAGTATGAATCACTGTTTATTGTTATTAATACTTTGGCTTCCTTTTCCTTACACATAACTATTATTATTTTTTTTAATTTATGTATTTAGTACAGGGCCTACAGGGTCTCACTACACAGATTGCACTCATAGTGATCCTCCTGTTTTCAGCCTCCCAAGTACTGGGTTACAGGCGCGCCACCATGCCCAGTCTCAGTCACCCTTTCAGTGCACCCCCAGGGCCATGCTGGTGTTGTACCCCAGGGCTCAAACCCCAGTCCCTGCATCCGCCTAAGCAGGTGCTTTAATCCACTGAGCTATCTGGCTGGCCTTAATTATTGTTTTTTTTTTTTTTCCTGATTATTCTTGACATGGTTGAGGTAGTACTGAATATTTGGTTTCATATGCTGCCTTGTAAGCATTTTTGTGCTTCATTTAAAATTGTTTTCGGGGGGCCAGGGAGATGGCTCAGTAGAATAAGCTCTTGTCTGGCAAGCACAAGCGTCTGAGTTCAATCCCTGGTTCCACAAAAAAAAAATAATAATAATAAAATAAAATAAAATTTAAAAAAAATTGTTTTCGGGCCGGGGAGATGGCTCAGTGGAATATGCGTTTCCCTGGCAAGTGCAAGGGCCCGAGTTCAATCCCCAGTTCTGCAAAATAAATAAATAAATAAATAAATAAATAAATAAATAAATAAATATGTTTTCATAATCATGTTAATGACTGAGAAATAGGGCTCACTATTAATGGGCAGCCATGACAGAGCTCTGTAAGGATGATTACTTAGGAAGTGTTTTGGCTGGGTCTGGTGGTGTAATCCTTTAATCCCAGCACTTGGAAGGCTGAGGCAGAAATGTTGCCATGAATTCAAGGCCATCCTGGTCTCATAGCAAGACTCTGTCACCAAAAAATAAAGAAAAAAGAAAGAAAGAAAAAGAATTTTTGGCAAGAAAACACTTTCTACTTCCTATTATTATACACTTTAAAAGAATATAATGGTGGAATTTGGGGATTTATTACGTTACACTAAAAGCCCAAAGGCGTTAACAGTGGTTAAAGTTGATAACTTTTGTTTGCTATCTGGGGAGAAAAGAAAAGTGAGGAAAGGTCAGTGGTGACACTTTTAAATTGAGACTCAAGTTAAATGTTCATTCTTTCTTTAATGTGATGAAATATTTTAAAACACAAAGCTAAGAAAAATAGTGGCAGAAATCCATATAAATTGGTTTATTAACTAAGATACCTTTAAAAGGAATTAGTTAATATTTATAAAATCACAGTGATACAAATCCTGAGATCTAGGCATTACTTACATACTGATGCAAAGAAAGTCATGTTCTGTACTGTGTCAGTACTACTGTTCAGTATTATTAGAATTATGCTGTGTGTTTGTAAGCCAAAATCCAGGAAGGAATTAGGGTAGGCAAAGGAAAGGAAGCATGGAAAGAAGAGATACGGAAAGAATGAGTCAGTGGAATACATATCAGATCTAAATTGGGTAAAACTCTTTAGCTTCTTGAGAATGAGAACAGGACCCACTCAGAACTGCATCACCCATGTATTCATGTTGGGAGGAAGGTCTAATTTGGATACAATTCACATTCCTTGGTGGTGCTTAGGAATAACTCTGTCATTAAAAAAGAAGTTGTCGGCTGGTGAGATAGCTCAGTGGTCTAAAGCACCTACTTAGAACAAGCTTCACAAAGGGACCGCGGTTCAGTCCCCCAGCACCACATGCCAGCCAGCCCCGCCCCCTGGTGGGCTGAGCTGGCCACACATAAATAAATAAATAAAATTAAAAAAAAAGGAGTTGTCTGGTTTTCAGTTCCTGTAACAAAATACCCAAAGTTGGGTAACAGAGAAAAGGATTTCTTCTAGCTCTCCATTTTGGAGAGTCACAGTCTAAACAACATGGTTCCAGCTCTGGCAAGGGCCCTTGCACCTGGACCAAATCATGGAATATGGCGTCGTGGTGGGAACAGGTGTGATGGAGAGATCACATGGTTGGACAAGGACAGTTATACTAAATCCTGTGCCACAACCCCTCTCTGAAGAACTAATTTAGAGTCCCTACCTCAGTTCCTTCAGGGCATTTCTCACTGACCAAATTACCAGGCACAAGGCCCTGTCTCTTACAAGTTTCAATGTCAGCATCAACACAGTAGGGATCAAGAGTCCAGCACTTAAAAAAAAAAAAAAAGATTCTAGCACTTGAACCTTTGTAGAACAACTCATATCCAAAGCCTAGCAGTGAGTACTATATTATTGATTAAAAACCAGTGAAACATACTTCAATACCTTAAATTTTAAAGGTATTTATGTTACAGTTGGAGTCTGAGAGACTTGTATCTTCAGTCAGTTGTTCATGATTATTGTTGACCTACATTGATCTTGGAGTAAGTTGGAGAATTCTCATCAAATTGTGCTGATCCTAAAAATTGTCCCTAAACTGTAGCATCTGTTCTGTATTTATAAACTGAAATAATTATGGATGTCAAATAAAGGAAAACTCTGTTTCCTTTGGAAAGAAAAGAAATCCTTTTTTTAGAAGTTCACATCAACAGTCTTTTCAGACCTCAAGAATTTTCTGTTTGTATTTTGAGAGGTTGCTCACGTGTGACCATTGTCGTTCCTTCCTCCAGTTCCCTGCCAGACGGTGCTGGATTACCTGAAGACGGTGCTGCAGCACCACAACCAGCTCCTGCTGCCACAGCCTGCCGACCAACCAACTGAGGTGGGTGCCAGGTGGAAGGAGACGAGGCATTCCCAGCACGCCTTCCTCACCAGGAAGCCCCTCAGTAACCAGCCACTGTGCCAACACAGATAGGCCAGCCACGTGCATTTTGACTTGCAGGCATATGAGTCTGTTTCTCTCTTGGTGTACATTTTGTGGCAAACCACGCCTGTGTTCACCTCACAGGGTTTAGTTTTGCTGGTGGAGGGAGGAAGTAGAAACAGCAACCTGAACATGGACTCTTTCCCCATCCCTGCAGGTGTGGTGAGAGCTGACTTGGAGTCAGCAAACAGTCCCATCCTCAGGCAGAGCCAGTGCTTCAGGGTGACTTTGCCCTGTTGGGATCTCCCACACTGCTACTTCTCCCCAGGGTTTTTGTTTGCTTGGTTTTGAGGCAGGATCTCATCATGTAGTCCAAACTGGCCTTGAACTCAAGTCAGTCTTCCTGCTTCAGCCCCCCAAATGCTGGGAATACAGGTGTGCAACACCACACCCAGCCTCCCCAGATAGCCTATTGTCCAGAACTCCTAAACTTGAGCCAGGTTGTTTCTCTGGCCCTCAGCAGAAGAAAGCAATCTCCTAGGAGAGATGCCATCAGTTGTGGTAAAAGAATGTTCCCAGTTTAGACTTTTGAGATAGGCTGGGCTTGAACTCACTGTGTAGCCCAGGCTGGCCTTGAACTGGAGGCAGTCCTCCTACATCAGCTTTCTGAGTGCTAGGAGTGCAGGTGTGCACCACCATGCCCAGCTCTAAACATTTTTACAAGATACTCATAACTTTATTTTAAATATATTATTTTCAGTTTACAGATTTTAGAACATGGGCCATTGTTTGAATATCATACACTGAAGTCTTGCTACAATTAAAAACTGTTGGACTCTTTGTCCTTCCTTTACATTACGCTCTTGACACATCCCCTGCCAATACTTTCATAATATCCTCCTCCCTTTTATAGCTATGGGGACTGAATTCAGGGCCTTTGCACTGAGCTACACCCCAGGCCATTTTAAATTTATTTTGAGACTGGTTCTCACCACTTACCTAGGCAGGGCTTAAACACATGATCCTCCTTACTTAACTTGGAGGAATGCTGGGATTGCAGGCTCTCACCTGGACTTGGGTGGAATTCCTGAACAGTGGGCCAAAGTTTTATCCTCCTTAGTGTTCCCAGCACCTTTCCTAGAAGGTGCTCAGGTCATCCTTGCAGGCTGGTGACCTCCTTCTTAAATGATTAGATACTTGGAAGATGGGTCCATATTCTTCCTCTCTACCCCTACTTCCCATCTGTTCCTCTACCCTGTAATCTTACTTTGGTCTTTGATACTCCCCACAATGTTCTGCAAGCTGCCTCTGCTGCGTGTTCCAGTTGTCTGGCTCAAGGACCTTTTTGCCAGCTTAGTGTCCTCCTCCTCCTCTCGAGTTCCAGGTCCTTTTCTCACTGATCTTTTAGAAGTGTTTTCATCCATAGTTTCACCTTCACTCTTTCTCTGCCCAGTCTTGGTCCTTCTCCAAACATCCACCATATTAAGGTAACCAAATCCCAGGTGGACACCAAGAGCACTGTCCTCACAGCTTGTGTTCTCTGAAGGCTCCACCAAATCGAGGGAGTGGTTCCTGACCATGGCTTTCTTCCTCTTCTGTGCTCCTGGTGGCCAGTTAACTGTGCAGTTCTGTAAATCAACTCTTCTCTGGTTGGCCCCAAACACTTTTCACCAGGATGTTGCAGTGGATCACTTCATCCTCAGTCTCCACATTTAATGGGAAGTTGGCTAAATTAAAGATCCAAACTAAATGTCAGATGCTTAAAATTCTTTCATTACACACTTGTCGCTTTGTAATTATGAAAAACACAAAGGAAAAGTGCACTTTCTCTAGGGCGCCTTCCTGATTGTGCTCTCCCTGCTACAAGCTCCTGCGGCACACCTCACTGTTCCTGCGTCTGACTCTGAGCTCCTTACCTCACACCTTCCACTCAGTTATGAGCCTGTGGAGTAGCATCCTGATTTTTTTAAAGTGACTCCAAACTTGGTCAGACTTTAATAACTTGTTAGTGGCTAATTAAAAAGGATATAGGACCCATATCTCATCAAATAGGAGTATATTTCCCCTAGGTAGGACTATTTAAACTTTCATTACCCAGCATTGTTATTGTTGCTGTACTACTTTTATTGTCATTTTAGGCCATGAGCATTTTCTCATTTTTATTATTTATCTCATTTTATTTCTGTTAACTGCTAAAACAGGATTGTAGCTGTCATCCATAACCCACATTCTGAGTTGTTTCAAGTTGTAAATTACTCGTTCTCTTTGCCTTTTTCTTGATGAAAATTACTTCCAAATGGTATTTCCACATTTTATGAGACCAATTATTTTATGTAGAGCTTCTGCAGTTTGGGAGAGTGTTAAGTTTTTCTGTGAATGGATTTTGTTTTTAAGGATTTGAGAGGGGTGCTTTCTCGTGTTAGGTTTTTCTGTGAATGGATTTTGTTTTTAAGGATTTGAGAGGGGTGCTTTCTCATCACCACTTTCATCATAAGTCCCCCCATCCTGAAGGTGACTGTAGGCCCAGAGCCCAGCATTAACTCAGGGGCAAATGCTGACTTTGAGGTCAGTGTTCCCAGCTCTGCTCTTAGAGTTGGGTCCAGGATGTAAAATAAAGCAGTAGTCCTCCCTTGCCTGTGAACCTGCATGCCAGAGGGAAACGGGTTATTTTTAACAACTCTATAGTATTAAACAAATAATATAAAAAGTAGCTATATAATTTCCCTTTCTCAGGCTGCAGGTGTACATATTTATAGGAACCATGAGAGCACGATTTTAAATTAAAGGTGTGAAAGTCTCCCTTTTTAAATGGCCCTTGTCTGTATTGCTTTCAAAGATGTTTAGCCTTGCCAATTTTTATTCATTCAAAACTCAAGTTTCCAGTACCACAGTGTTTTGTTTTTTTAAAAGTCTGCTCTTTTAGTGACCAGCATTACTGAGTGACAGGCACCAGCCAGTGCGTGTTGCATCCTCTTTCAGTCACTTAGCAAGTGTGTCCTGCACCTCCCGTGTCAGGCACTCCTCTTGGCCCCGGGAGGGAGAGGGGGTTGTACCAGAGGGATACATTCCAGTCCTCAGGAGTCCTTTGGGGGATTTGTGGATATCCCCGGACCAATCAGTTAGCTGGGATGATTTTCCTGTTTTGACAGAAAGGTGAGGTTTGGAGAAGCTAATCACCTGCCTGAGGCTGAACTTTGTGGAGAACTGGCCCTGCTGCCCGGGAGAGGAGGACAGCTGTGGGGAAGAGTGCTTGGGGCAGGTGCCTCCGACTGGCACTGATAAATACCGTGGTGGACCTTCCCAGAGAGTGTGGGAGAGAAAATGACTGGTTCTGGGATGGCCAGCCCGAATTCCACGCAGCCCAGCTGCACCTGGCTCCCTGAGGGCAGTGAGCACACAGGGTCGGAGCTCTGCGCCCTCCCCACCCTGCCTAGGGGTAGAGGGGCCTTTCCCCTGCTGCCTGACTAGGTCCTAGCCCTAAAAGCTCTACTTTTCTGTGAGAGAGACCACTCCCATTTCACTTTAGTCTCACCACTCAGTCTGTCCACCTCGGTCTTTCCGACTCTGGCTCACAGATGGCTTCCTGGCCCCTGGGTTCTGCTGCCCATTCTCTTCATTTTCATTCAACCCTCACCTCTCACGAGCCCTGAAGGGAAGGAACTCTGGGCCAGGGAGCCACCCGTGTCCTGCTCACCTCTCACCTCTGGTACATGGGGGCCCCTGTTACCCGAGAACCGTGGTTGATGCGCCCATGTGCTCATTTCATTGTATTTATTTATTTTTTGCGGTACCACGGATTGAACTCAGGACAGGCCTGTGCGCCTGTTTCACAGGTGAGAAAGCGCTTGTTTAGCAAGTTCAGGTAACTTGGACACATTAACAAAACCAAGATGCGTTCTAAACCTAGCCTGTCTCTATTTGAAGCCCAAAGCGCCAGTTTCAGCTGCTCCCTGAAAAGGGGAAACAGTCACACTACTGCCTTCTGGAAAAACGTGGACGGTAAGGCAACACTGCCCACACGCACAGTCCAGCCCTGGTTTCCTCGGCAAACCTGGCTGCCTCTTTTCCGCTGACTTTTATTTCATTTACCCTTCTCCATGCTTAACTAAGTAGAGCACTTCTTAAAACAACAACCTGTCAGACTCAAACCCAGCCAGATTTATAACTTGTAGTAAATTTATAGAGTTGTAAAACTGAATGAGTTTCCCCTTTATTTTGTACACCTTAATTACTGGGGAAGGAGTACGTTAAAACTGAGATCATGGGTTAATTAATTTGTCCTGGACTGTAGAATTTTATAGACAGCCAGAACTAAAATAGTGGCTGTGTAGGTGCAATTGACTAAACATGGCCTATAAATGTCACACGAGCTCCCGTAATTAGTCCCGCTGCAGCTATTTAGCCTGGGAATTTTATAGCAGACATAAATTATGAAGGTGAAAAGTAAGAAAAATTTTGAATTGACGTAGTGGCATTTGCAGAAGCTATCATTTGAGAAAACCTGTTTTGCATTATTGTTTTTTTTCTCCAGTTTTTACAATTCCTCTCATTTTAAAATTAACTTTTAACATTGCTTGTATCTTAACATAGTTGCTATCAAGTGTTGGGTGCGTAAAACACAAGTAATTCCTTATTAAAATGAGACCACCAGCATTATTTCTAAAAGAATTTAACTGTCAACCAAAGGATGAAGGGACCTGTTTGATCACACTCTTCAAAGTCATTTTTTGCATATTTTAATAGATTGAAAAAGAAAGTTACAGGTTATATTTAAATAGTGTTCGCTGTCATTGGATCTTGACACATTTTAACCTACCTGTTAAAATGCAAGTTATAAATAGCTCCTCTTTCAAAGGTGTTCATTATACCTCATTGGCTCTTGTTAGAGAAAATGCAAATGTAATTTGAAAAGTGCCCCTTCTGAGCCTGAGCGTGAGCAATTACTGGTACTCCTCAGTCCCTGTGCATTGTCAGCGTAGCCACTCGGTTAAAGGCACACTTGCCTTTGAAATGGAGATGGGAGACTGTTTTGGCTTCTGGCTGCCTGGCTCAGTGGGTAATGAGAAAATATTTTGCTTTTCCAGGGAAGCAAGCAGCTGTTGAACAACTATCCTGTCTACATAACGAGCAAACAGTGGGATGAGGCCGTCAATTCTTCAAAGAAAGACGGGAGACGGCTCCTTCGATACCTCATCAGATTTGTTTTCACAACTGATGAGCTTAAGTACTCTTGCGGCCTTGGGAAAAGGAAAAGGTCAGTGCAGTCAGGAGAGACAGGTCCTGAAAGACGCCCTCTGGATCCAGTTAAAGTCACGTGCCTCCGAGGTACTGCATCCTTCTGCTCAGTGTCCGCCATCCGTGACCCCATTTCACTGCATTGGCTGTGGCTCCCGTACAGGGTTCAGCCTCACTGTATTTTGATTTCTTTCCACTGAGACCGTACAGCCTTCATGTGGCCCATCTACTTGGTATTGAGAAACTCTGTAAAACCTCTTGGTTTGCTTTAGCCTCGTTCTCACTCAGTGGTACATAGCATTGCATAGCACCTCATGTTTCACGCTTTAATACAGATTTTCTTTGCTGCCAGAGAAGGCTTCTTCCGGCAAAACTGGAACATAGAGAAATGCACACAGGAAGGGAAGATGTGGATTTTTTTAATTGGTAAAATGAGACCTACTTCCACTTTAGCTTGGGCACCCCCATCTGGCTTCCTCCCCAACAAAACACGGTCCAACTCCTTAAATTTGTTCAGAATACTGGTTAAACTATACCTTAGCCAGGAAGACTTTCTTCTTTAGCTTAAAAAATTTCCATATTAAAAATACTGCTCATAGAGTCCCACTTCATCGATGTTCACGGGTGGGTACTGTGAAGCCAGGTGTACCACTGTGGGCCAGGTGCACGCTTGGGAGGGCTCAGGAGGTACACAGGTGACTGCGCAGGTGCAGACAGAGTGCAGGTACACGGGGAGAAGCACTACAGTGCCAGCCAAAACATGCCTGAGAAGACCTCAGCCAAAGTCTCAAGGCTGGGGGCTGGGGGGATAGCTCAGTAGAATAAGCGCTTGCCTGGCAAGCACAAGGGCCTGAGTTCAATCCCTGGTTCCACCAAAAAAACCAAAGTCTCAAGGGCACTTTTTAATTTAAGGTAATTAATAGAAAAATATAAAAAGCACTCTTCTGTGCAAAAGTAAGATGGTAAAAATCTCAAATACTCACCTATAGTTCTATTGTAATTGTACTGGCTGGAAAAACATCATATTGATTTAATTTAGATAGGGATCAAACTATCCTGATAAGGAATTCATAGTTTTAAAGAAGTATCACTGACAAGGCTTTGGATCTTGGAAGGAATATTCGTACACTGGCCCCTGGGTGCCTCTTTACTGAGGCACTTGAATTCTGCAGCCTTAGGGGCCTAAGGTGCCTGCGTAGTATTTGTTGGTAGCGAGGATTCCCTAGCCCATTTCAGAGATTTTTCTTTTTTTTTTTTTGTGGAACTGGGGATTGAACTCAGGCCCTTGCACTTGCCAGCAAAGTGCCTATTCCACTGAGCCATCTCCCTGGCCCCGAGATTTTCATTCAGTAGGGGTAGGGAAGATATAACTGGCTAACTGGCTCCTGAACACAGTCACCCTAGGTGATTGTGATGTAGGTTGGCCATGTGTGAGGAAGCCACTAACAGAGAAATTAGCAAGGCCCAAGAGACCCTGATAGGTTCTTGTTCTCAATCTTCAAGCTAACAGCTGGTTAAAGAACACCATACTCATAGTATTTGCTGTCCTTCCAGAGATGACTTTCTCAAGCAGTTAACTTTCTCAAAATACAAGCAAATACCAACATGGATTTTGAAATGTACTCCCCAACTGATAGCAAACATGGTGCCACCTTGTCTTACTAAGCAGATTTATCTTTCTTTCAAACAGCAAGTGTTTCTTAAATACTTCTCACTTAAGTATTTTTTTACTTTTCCACATGAAAAGGAAATTGGTTTGGAATAAGTTGGGTGTGTCACAAGTGACTTCATCATGGCATTACATTGGATCTTGCATATAGCTTTTCTGATAGAACTTAAGTTAAATTTCAGCAGGCTGTCACCTTCTGTCAACACCAGTTGTGTTTTTCTCTCTGTTTTACTGTTGTGTATATTCCCACAGAATTCATTAGGATGCACTGTACCTCCAACCCCGATTGGTGGATGCCCTCAGAGGAGCAGATAAACAAAGTGTTCAGCGACGCTGTGGGTCACGCTCGGCAGGGGCGTGCAGTGGGGACTTTTCTGCACAACGGTGGCTCATTTTATGAAGGGATCGATCACCAGGCTTCACAGGATGAAGTCTTCAATAAAAGTTCACAGGATGGATCTGGGGATTAGTGGACAGAATCTTCCCCACTGTAGCAGCCAGTCTTTTCAAGAGCTCCAATTGTAAATGTCTGTGTACCTGTCACCTGAGAGTCCAAAGCATGTTATTCTATCATACTTTACATATTCTCAACCTGAAAACTCATGATCAACTGCCACAGTTCCAAAATAGAATTCCACTCTATGGTTGTTTGGGCAGCCTGTGGCACCTACAGCAGACATAAGGAATATTATCAGAAGTCAAACTAATGTTACTGTGAAATGTTTGTTGGCTGAATGGTGAGGGTGGAAAACTAGGTGAGATCCTGGTCACCTGCCCCCCATCTCAGGCTAGCTATTTCCTTAACAGAGCTGGTCTCCTTAAGGGAGGTTAGGTTGGTGTTCATGCCTATGGGAAAGAGTAAGGTGTGGAGCTATTTTAAGGATCAAGGAATAAGTGTTCTCTTAATTTAATTCAAGTAAATTGTCTTTCTGTTTTCCAAAGACTTGAATTTGGAGTTCTCAGCAAAGACTCAGCATAGCTGACATTGTATGCTGTCTGTGTATCACCAGACCTGCTATTAACAAAAAGCCAGGGAACAGAGGCCATCTGTATAGACAGTGGGTAATTGGAAGCCAGCCACTTTTGTGTTGTTTTACAAAGAAAACTTCCACCTTGGTATTCACAAAGGCTATGTGCTCACTGGAGTTTACAAATAGTAATTGTATGTTTTAGTTAAAAAAACATCCAAAGATCCAAAACCATTTTCAAATGCTTGACTTTATACATTCATAGATCTGCCGTTTCCATAGCCTTCACGTAGGCTTTGTCGATACAATGCCAAAGTAATGCGGTGAACAGTGAGAATTTCTGTAACTTAGTTGTTTGGTGTACTGCCCACCAGATCCGTGGTGTGGCTGACGGCATGTGCTACCTTGACCTGGAGTCAGAGACACATTTTCAAGGCCATTCTGACAGTTACGCAGTGGTTTGTCGTAATTTCTCTGTGATTTGAAGGTCCTTCTGTGTTGAGTTGATCTTTAGAATCTGTAGGAAACTTCTATTGATTTTTGTCATTGATGAAGTCTGCTCCCAACCATGTGTGTGTGTGTGTGTGTGTGCGTTGCCTCCTTTGCCACAGTATTCTCTTGAAAGCCAGGCTTTGGCTCAGTTCACACTGTTCTGCTTTTATCCACTTCTCCTTTTTAACCTGTTGAGCTGTGGTGTGAAATAGTGCGGCCTTTGGAGCCTTTCCCGGTTGGCTAATGCTGCGGAGGTCCTGGAATCATCATTCATGAGGGATGCGAGGGGAGACTCCCTGTTCCAAACTAGTTTGGATTACTGCGTTCTTTATTGTCCAGACAGCTAAGTTGGCAGCGTCTCTTGAGGGCTATTGTCATCTACAAACACAACAAGAAAACTGATGGAAATTCAAATTTATGAGCATCCATTTAAAAAGTACATTTTTAAACCTTTTTTTGTGAAAGTGAAACTATAAATTAGCCTTGTGTCCAATAATTGGCAAGTGTCCAAAGTATGTGCCGTCCCAAAGCAGGTCCTTCTGGTGCCTCTTTAATGATTGTGGGCTTTCATCTGTTGATAAGTTTAATGAGTATGAAGATAAGTCATTTGTCACATTTGTAACAGGTACAGCAAAATTGCATTCGAGTCCTGTTTTGGGCAAATGAACTAAGGTTTAGAAGTAAAAGAAAGGATTAACAAGGCAAGTGTGATGTCAGCGGGTGAGATTAATGTCTCTGGCTATCCAAAGAAGATAATTCCTTGATGTGCTTGTAAAAGTCTGGGAACTGTGAGATTGTCGAATGACGTGACGTTTTGGGTAGAAGGAAAGCATCACCACGGCCTCATGTGTCTTCATTTTACCTTTTCTTTTTTTACCCTGGGCATTAGTTATCCTTATAGTTGAGTACATTGTTTTCTCTAGCAGCAATATTTTGTTGCCTGTTAAGTAACTCTAGCTTTGTTTTCCTTTAAGTCTGAGGGCTCTGCACATTTCTTCACATCTGAGCATCATCGTGAAATTCAGTATCACACTGATCTTCACTGATGGGGACAAGCACGCCTGTGCACTCGTGCTGCACAGCCTTACATGTGACATGGCTGCACCACACCATGAATAGCCGAGAGCCTCCCTACTTGCCGAGGCCTCTCAAGTGGGCTTGTGCACACGCTTTGCTCCAGGGACATCAGCTTCTCCCTCACATGCTCCCACTCCAGGCAAATTACTTCCCTGTGGCACAAATTGTAGAAGGTGGAAGTATGAGCTGGCTTTCTGTTTGCATATATGCAAAGCACGGCCCATGGGATGACTCACTGAGCACCCTGCAGCCAGGTCCAGAGCCTTGCGAGGTGCTCCTTTGTACTTGTCCTTGTTTGCGTAACTGCTGTATCTCCCTAGCACTCCCTCTGACCCAGGGCTTATATCCCTAAGGCTGTGGTGAAGCATAGCTCAGATACCTGCTGTCTGCTTTCCTTAGCGCACATCCGTGCTGCTGTTTGTGCTTCCTCTTTAAGCTTAGATTACTGACTTCTTGATAGTCACCTGGCTTTTGAATCAGAGCTTACAAAGGACATTTGGGTGGTTTGGTTTTTTTGTCTTTGTCTTTGGTGACAAGGTAAAAAGCTCACCACTAGCCAGGCATGATGGTGCACAGCTGTATTCCCAGTACTCAGGAGGCTGAGGCACGAGGATTGCTACAAGTTTGAAGCCAGCCTGGGCTACTGATGTAAATTGAAAGCCAGCCTGACATATACAGTGAGATCCTGTCTCAGAAAAGCAAAACAAAACAAAAAAAGAACAATAAAAAGCTGACTGCTAAAGATAGGACATCATCAATGCTCTTTTCGTCTCAGTCTTTCCATTACCTGTTTTCAGATTGAAGATGATGGTTCTCTTGATTTGCTTTTCCCTGTCTGTGTAGCAGTTGGGTACATTGCTTTCGTGACAAGAAATGTAGTCTTATGTTCACTTTGAGAATTGTCCTTGAGTCAATATAGCATTGGTGTAAACTGGATTGAATTAGAGTAGCTCAGGCTGCAGCTGTGGTCACTCATTGGTCGGAGGCAAAGGTCACAAGGCCTGGGAGGGGTGGGCTGACCACAGAGGTTAGAGCAGTGCTTTGGTCAGTGAGTAGGTGGTGTCCAGAGTCTCGGCTGTCACAGTCATCCATGCCTATGCAAAGTGGCAGTATGTGTGTCATGTCCTGTGTTTTTCAAATTAAAACGTTGCAGGTCATGCCTGGAAGGGGACATTATTCTGCTAGCAGTAAGCAAAGTCACATTTCTTAACTTTTTTGACAGTGCATCGTTCAGATCTCATGGTCTACCTTTAGTATGAATGCTTTCAAAGAAAACTGTAAACGTTTCCATTAGTAGCTCCATTTCTGTTTGAAAGTGTTTTCCTCCAGCCCTTCAACCTGGGCTTTGCTTTTGTGGTGTTCGTCAGTCCATCCTGGCAGTAGGCTACTGTCACCATTTGTGTTTCATAAAGCTTCACTGAGACTATAGGGGTTCATACTAGAGTGCAGGAAATTGCTGTCATTTCTTTTGGTAGAGGAATCAAGAGATGCCTGGGACTACTTCACAGATGTAGTGTAAGTGGGTGATTTTATATTCTAGGTCATTGATTTTCATTAAGTTTATAAGGAGTTAAAAATCATTACAATCTTTTATTTGACCCAGCTACTACATTGACGTGAACTAATGTTAACTGTCAGGTAAAATTTTTTAAAGTTTAGTTCCCATTCCAGAAATTTACACAAAATCCAGACAATAATGCAGCCTGGAAATGTGCATGTCCAAGGTTCCTGGGTTTGCTTGCCACCTTTAGCCACCAGTACCTCCCTGCTGTCCTCAGCGGATGGAGCATCATGTCAAGGTGAAGCGTGCACTGTGCTCAGGACAGCAGATGTGCACTGTCATTATTGGGACTTTTGTCATTCACCACCTGTTCTAGACTAACCCTAATACCCATTGACTACCTCCGTAGAGTCATAGACACAAATTATTTTTTGAAAAATTTCATCTTAAATGAGTTCATTTTTAGAAGAGACCTAAATGCATAACTTTTCATTATTATGTCATTTTGTGGTACAGATCTGTGCTAATTTTTGACAGCTCTACTATGTGGATTTGCTGAATGTAATAGAAAATGATTTTTGCACATATGGTGCAAGTCTTGCTGGTGTATGTTTCATGTGGCAACACTTGCCAAACGCTTGGCAAAACATGTCAAAGAGAATGCTCAACTCGGAACTCTAATGTAAATGTGTCTAAACAGCAGTGTGTATCATTATGATGGATTTTTGTAAACAGAGTGATGGCTTCTTTCAGTCCTGTAAGTTCTGTATAAAAATAACTGCTTCACTTGGAAAGGAAGGAAAACGTCGCCCTGCTGATGGCAGTTTCTTGCACTGTCATCCAGTGTGGCATTGGTTCTCTCATGTTGTTTAGAGGAGAGTGAAGAATTGACATCAGACAACATGAAGGGCAAAACTAACACCCGCTCATTACTTCTAAGTGTAAATTTTAAATCTTAGCTGATGTAATTTTTATACAACATAATAGAATATGTTGCAGGAAACAGTGAGGAGGCCAGTTTTCTCTCATCTGATAACCTTTGGTTTGATGGTTAGAAGCATTTAAGTCAACAGATCTTTGCAGAAATGGTGACCACATTAGTTTTCTTTATAACTGGCTGGCTCATGTGTGGGCTGTATTTTTACTGAATCACAATTCTCCAAATTGCAGTGAAAACAGGTCTGCTAGTAAGACTAATTCAAAACCTTGTCCATTCTCAGAACAGTCACACTAGTGCGGTGGCCCTTTGTGTCTTGGCCACATTGGAAAGTGACTTGGGCCACTGAACACTGCTCACTGCAGTAGTGGTTAACTACAGGTAACTAGTGAATGTAAGTAGGAAGCATTTATGTGCCATTTGCTTTGATAAGTGCTTGCCTGGATCTTCCTTTGAATCCTCACAGCTGCCCTAGGAGGCTGTTACTGTTACTGCTGCCCTTTAATGGATAAGAAAACTTACAAGGATACTAAACTCAAGCCACTTGGGGCTTAGGAAGAATGACCAGTTCAGTTTTCCTACAGTCACAG